TTATAGCATACCTTAATATACCGAACGTACTAGAACTACAGCTAACGTAATAACTAAACCGTAGGCTAGTTCTAGTCCTACCTTATTAACTAGGAATTAAGGCTAAAAGTCTCCCTTATAAATAATAAGAAGGAGATAGAGAACCGTATCGGGTTCTACTTCTTATAGTTATAGAAGGACGTTTAAGACAAACTCCTAGAAGCTAATAAGCTTACGGAGTCGAAGATAGCTAAGGATCTCTTCGATATAGCTATTCTTATTAAGAACTACTTATATCCTAAAGGAAGAGATAGGAAGAGGGGACCGAAGAAAACCTTAGAAGATAAGAAACCCCTAATTAGGCCTAGCGGTAGCTCTACGGCACCTTCGTAGGGTAATCGCGGGTAAAGTAGTAACTTAAAAGGGAAAGATAGAGGAAGGGGACGGGGCTACTACTCCTAAACCTTTACTTAAAGTCCTTTAGATCCTCCTACGCCGCTAACCGGCCCGAACTCTTACCCTTAAGGGTCGGGAAATAGGAGGCCCTAGTCGCATCCCTCTCCTTACTACGGCTAGGRAATTAAATAAAGGGGAAGGAGCGACGYATCGTTATTAATGTCCTCTAAACCCTACTAACCGGGTAGAAGAAGGTCCTAAGGGCTCTCGTTAATTACGGGGCGTAGCTTAATCTTATTTTATAGTACGTTATAYAGCTCCTTTAGTTRCCTACYRTAGACCTTCTAAAACCTAAAGTTAGGTTCCTAAATAACTACCCTATAGACATCTATAAAGCTTACTAGCTAGACGTCTCTATAGCGGACCGCGAAGATACCGTAAAGGTTACGTAGTAGACCTTCTAGGCAGGGTTATTTACTAGCTACGATATAGTCTTAGGATAGGATTAGCTTAATACTACCGACCCCTTAATTAGTTTTAGAAAAGGAACGTTTATATAGGGAGACCTAGGGCCTAAGCCCTCTAATAATAATATCTCTACGGTTCTCGACCTTCCTATAAACCGCCTACTTTAAGCCCTTATCGATAGTATAGCGGCATTCTAAATAGGAGACTAAAACTACCTAATTAGGGTAATAGTAGAGGAAGAAAAACCCTTAAACGGCGATACTACCGTAGAGGGACCGTAGGACCCCCGTAATACTACTATCGGCGAGCCTATAGGGCCCTACGCGGTCTATAACCCTAATTAAGACCTAACTACTATTAATCTAAACTGTCGAAAAGAATAGTAGATCGTAGCCCTCTTATACTACGAACGGTATAAGGCTACCTACGCCGGGTACGAAGAGCTTTAAGAGCTACCTCGATAAGTATACCGGGAGATACTTACTATCGCTACTACTAAGGAAGCCGATATAGGGGAAATCCCCCCTAAATATATAGACTAGGCGGATATGTTTAGTCTAGAGCTAGCTAGGGTTATTACATAATACTCGTAATACGACTACGCTATTAACCTTAAGGAGGGTAAGGACCCTCCC